ATTCAACACACACGCGTAGTCCGGCGCTCTCTGGGAGCACTCCCTGATTGGATTTTACAGCCATTTGCAAATTTGTTCTGTGATCCCAATTCCTGAAGATAAACAGTTATTTTAAAGTCATTTTTCTTCCATTTTGTATGACTTAGAAATGTAATTTGCAAACATGTTAGTGATCTGACAACAGTACTGCCAGAGCTTAACTATTGAGTGTGAGCTGTATTCTAAGACCTATTGTAAATAAAACCAATTTAAAAGCTACGAAATAAATGCTATGTTCATTTAGACATAAATGTTGTATGTTCTACAGTGATTCTGCCTAGCCTCCAGGAATATTCATGGAAAATGACTCCTTCAGCCCAGGGCAGCTCTTACCAGTACTATTAGAGTTACTTGCAATAATGTAGGTAGAAACCGAAGTGCACAGAGATGACTCTTTGGCCTAGGGCAAAGACAGTCTTCTCTGTGTTCCCTGAGTATGCAGGGTCTGAGGCTCTGGGTCTGAGGCTGTCTAGTCTCATCAGCCAAAATGATTTCCCTTTATGTAAGACCGCTGATACATGGAGACATTAGAAAAAGCCTCGATTTGGGCAGAGACACAAAATATGAGTGACTTGTGGGCAGGTTTCCACACATCAGCTGAGCAACAGGAGGTGACCCTGTTCATGAAAGGGTGACCCCTTTCATTCTTAGCCCATAGCAGGTACAAGGGTAACATGACTCCCCTGAGAAAGAGAGTCAGACTATTCTGCATTCATCAGCTCAGCTAACGATTAGCAGTGTATCAAGCTGTGGTGACTTACCGCGTGCCTGATCCCTAGGACATCTCGTTCAATTTTGGCATGGTTCAAACCAACATTTCCATTTTTCAGGCCGTGCAAACTCTATGGCTTCAATGAAGCTGAAGAAAGAGCATAAAATGAAATGAGGTGGAGAAGGAAACCCATGTTTCTTTTCAATTGTGCTTGACATATCATTTCCTTTTTTTTAATCAATGGCCAATTTTTAAAGCAATTGACTGTCATTTTGTACTAAGCTTGCCTTTGAAACAAAGATTTATCCCCGGTTTAACTTTCCACTGCTTTGAGTTTCTCTTAAAAGGCTGAGCTGGCCAAAAAAAAAAAGGGGGGGGGGAGGAAAAAAACAGGGTGAAGAGTATGAAAACACAGAGCCTTTTGTCTGTGCCTTGCGTGGCCGTTTTGTTCTCTGGGCTGTTCCATGAAGAGCGACTGTGAACAGGATGTGTTAACAAGTATTTCTTTATATCTGATAGCCATCTTTTTTTCTCTCCATCTGTATCTGTGCTCTTTGTTGCCATATTCTGTAGAAACACTTTAAGCAATGTCCATGGCTCTAGCTTAGAAAAAACAAGGAGGAATCACTTCTACAGGAGTGACCACGGGACTGAGGGCTTTTTAGGACGCAAATAACAAAAGAAGGGAAATGACCCTTCGTAAAACATTTGAATGAACCGAAGTTAAGACTGGAACGGTATCAAGAAGAGCTGGGCTCCAGTCCCAGCTTTGCCACAGCTTTGTTTTTTTTGCACAGCACCAGGCGCTTCCCTTCATTGCTCACTGTGTCGGTTCTCCCAGTTGTCAAATGGTGATTTCTGCAGAGCCTCTCATCATATATATGTGTTGCTAGCTGATAAAAGCTCCTCCAGTTATGGCTTTTCACTGGGTGTTAGTGCCCTTGGGCTTCAAATGAGTCTCTAGGACTTCCTAATTATAGTACAAAAGAAAAAGTGTTAATAAATTATAATAGGCAATACCAACACAAGGCCTTTTGTAATCTCACAAAACACCTAGTAAGAACTTGGAGAATTCATCATTGAACATCCTATTTCAGAATCACTGTTGGGCTCAAAGATGATTACACTTTATAAATAATATTAGTTTTGGTTTGAACTAGACCTGGGTGCATTCCAGGCTTGTTACTGCAGCAACGAGAGGACGATAACTCTGTTTTACAGTCCTGATCTGGATGAAGCACCATGGTCTGATAAGAGCCTCAGACAGACACACCAGTATTTGGATGCATCTGTACATCCAGCTCTTACTGTCTCCCCTCATCTCTAAATGTTCCAGCTGTGCTTTACCATTTTAAAAGCCTGTTTCTTTTCCTATTTCTTGACCTAGGGCAAGAACATACCTGAATAGAGGAATGGACTGATTATTTTTGGCAAAGAGTCAGAGCTTGTCACATAGATTTTACTAGGAATCCACCTTGACATCGTTTACTGGTGGAATCTCATCTAAAGGACACAGAGTGCACTTTTTTATACGTCAGCCAATTCAAACTGAAAAAGATAAGCAAACCCTGTTTGTCTGCTCTTCCACTTGTGAGGCATACAGTAAGTGGAGCTACAAGGAAAGACCAGTACATGGACAGAACCTAGAATAAGGAGAAATAGCCATCTAAGTACCTGCCATGAAGCAGAGATGAAGCACTGGAGTAAGCTTTCAGTCAACAGGACAGAAATGTCTGAGTGGGGAGAAGTCAGAAAGATCAGCAAGAGGATTGTAATTACTGAACTATGCCTTTTCTGGGTTTTGACCCAACCTATGACCTTTAAAACAGCAGCCCTGACAGCGAGTATCTCATATGCTTTGGAGTGTAACTGAAGGCTCTAATTGTCTCACAGTGTGATGAGCTTTGTAGAGTTATACTTGAATTATGCAGAACTCATTGTAATTATGTAAAATGCTGTCTGCAGGCCAAAAAATGACCACAAAAGTAGTTTTGCCATTCCATATGGAGGGAATGGCAGCAGGAGGGAAGAAAATCATTGGAAGAATGAATACCTGGGCAATTCCTCAGCTGGTATGAATTTGCATCGTTTCCCTAGCCTCTAGGGATTTGTGAGTTCAGGGCAGCAAGCAAGTGCTTAAGGTATATATTTCAAAACAAAATAAAGTGTTGCTGGGTTGTCCTCTTACAGGGGTCTCCACTCACTTTAAAAAAAAAAAAAAGGTTGAAGAGTTCTACTTTATTGTTGCTCATTTTTACTTTTGTTTGGTTTTCTTCAGAGAAGTCAGCTAGTGGTACTGCTGAAGAACAGAATGCTGGAATCAACAGATTTGGTATGGCATGGCAATTTCTTTCTGTATATTTCAAGATACTAAAAAGAATTGCTCATCTCATTAAGGACTTGTAGGCTTTCACTTGCTCCAAAATAGAGAGATGATTGCTGTATACTTGTGGTGGAAGGGGTGACCAAACAAATTGCAAGCATCCTGAATATTTAAAAGCAACAGAGACAAAGAATGAGAATTATGTGGAGTGTATAGATACTAATATAGCATTAAATGGAAATTTTAAAAAGATGCCTTTGCAAGCAGAAGGGAAATGAGTATTGTTGCATCCATAAAATACATGAAGTATTTTCTTTATTTTCTTTGATATATATGTTTAGCTAGCACTCCTTAGGTGACTGCTGTAACCAGTAGGGTCAGTAGTCCATCATTGCTGCTCAGCATGTTTATGTCTCCAAAAGAATGCAATAAAACAAACAAACAAAAGCATTAATTCTGACTTTTTCAATGTAAATGAATCAACAGATGGTTGAGGGGAAAATATGGATGGCTAATTAAAAGGTGAATGAACCTTAGCTGAAAGTAAAAGCCTGTTATGAAGGCCTTATATGGAAATTACAATGATATGTTCTCTGCTTCCAAGATCGCCTCTCAAAAAAAATCTGCTTCCTGCTAGGGAGTTTTCACAGGTTTGGTGGGAGCAGGATCTTTAGAGATGGATTGTATTAGTCCTTTTTCCATGAACAGGATCATGGAGCCTATATCTGGTGTTTTGAAGGTGGGAAAAGAAAGTAAGAAAAATGCAGGCAAGTAATGAACATAGTGCCTTTTTTAATGACAACTATGATTTGGAATTATTTCTTTTTTCCTCAAATATTTTTAAATCTACCACTTTTCCACGCTGTAAGTCTGCTATTGCCCTCACTTTGAATGTATCGCAGGAAACGTTTCTTACAGAATGAACTCCTCCACCACAAGAGTCAAAAGAAGACTGTCTCTTTGTACTGATCTCTATCTCTTTCCAGAATGTCCTAACACATTAGTGTAAAGTAGTTGAAAGTTTGTGGTTTGTGTGTATGTGTGTTTTTTTATTACACTTCTACAGCCTTGCTATTTTCTTATGTTATACCTGCTATTCCATGACAGACTCTTCCCTTCAAAGAGATTTATTGAGATCTTGTCCTAATAGATTATCTGGAAAAATTCCACTTCTTGACTTACAGGATGACATGTCTTGCTTATTTTTCAGGTGCAAAACCAGATAATGCTTAAATAGATATGAAGTAAGAGCCAAGATTAAAAAGTCCTTTCTAAAGCATAATTTCCACTGAAGTCAGAGGAAATTTGTTTGACAATGGCCACAGGTTTTGGCCAACCGTATACTTTCTTCTCGGAAAATATGGTGTATAGCAGGAAACCTTGTGTCATCCTGTTATCAATTTAATTGTTGAATTTCTTGAGAGTGTTCTTTAAGATTGCCATGAATGCTGTAGGAAAAACCTTCAAAGGCTACCCTGCTGTCTTCTGATAACGTCTTCGTTTGTGCCCCCTAGTGCAAGGTGAAAAAGGCTTTGATAAGATACTATGATAATCAAAAAGTCATTAGTTCTTGTACAGTTATTTTTATTGAACCAAAGCTATTGCCTTCAACAATTTTTCGCTGACCCCAAAGCAGGGTTCCAGGGCAGATATCCTGCTGCTCCCTAGGGGATCCTGGCTAGGGATTCCCTTGGTGTCCAAGACTCCAGACCAGTCAACAACAAAGGGATTTTCAGTATGTCTGCTGGTGAAGCTAATCGCTAGGCACCCTCCCTCCAACCAAAGAGCAGAGACCCAAAGACTAGGTCAGCGGTTGACCGTTCTTTGGTAACATAAATGTGGTGTTTGGTTTTTGTATTGGGATTTCTCTCTCTCTTTTTTTTTTTTTTTTTTTAAACTTAATTATTCCATGAGGCAAACCAGTGAGTGGAAGTTTCCAGCTCTCTCCAGAGGCAGGTTCCAGTACTGGGGATGGTTAGGAGAGGGACCCAGATGGGGATCCTGCAGGCTACTGGGCTGCTCTTGTGCTAGTCTAGAACGTGGCACCATACAATGAAATGTCCCTGGCTCAGTGCAGGGCTTCCATCACTTTTACTCTCTGAGACACAGCCTTTTCATCAGGCTCCTTATTCCTCAGGTATGCAAAGTGAGGCTGTACCTCCTGCTGGCAGGTTTTCAGAAGGCAGAGTTGCACATGGCGAGTGGGAATCTGCGCTGGGATAGTCCTGTAGTGTGACTTGCTGCCTGACTTCTACTTCTTTACTGGTTTTACAAAGGATTTAATCTGCGCACGTACACATGCCTTCCTGACTTCTTCCACGCACCAAAGCACCAGCCTCTCCATACCATCAAAATGCTCTTAAGACAATGTGGATAATGCAGGCCCAGGAAGAGCAGTTGAGGCATAATCTATTCCCAAGCCCTGGGGATACAATGTAGGGGTATATTTAAAACCTGCTAAGTTAAAGGAGTTCCCCTGTCTGCCTGTCTTCTCCTATGCTATCCAGCAGCTATGTTCCCCCCTGCCTTTAACTGTTCAATGCGATAGTGAAGTTGCAAGGAGAGTTTCAGTTGTCTTGTCAGCTCCTGGCATGTGTGATTACATTTGGCCTGCTCCTATGGAGCATTTTGTTTGGCAACAAAACGAGCACCAAATAAGTCTTATGCTTTGTTGCATTCTCTCCTTTCTTCCCCAGCGAGGTTGCCCTTAGCAGCAGCATGCTGGGCAAATCTCAAGCAAGAAATCTGTGTACTCTTTATTAAATATTGGACAAGTTGATTACACTTTAATCTCTGGATATAGCAAGATTGGTGACTGAATTTATACAAGTGCAATGTCTACAGCAGAGCTATTTCTGCTATAGGTTTGGGGGGCTGGGAAGGGGCGTTATACTTGGTCATTTGCACTTTTCAGGACAGAGGATATCTTCCACCACTGTGAAATCAAACATACTCTGTTTCAGTTGTATAATGACTCATTTGCTTAGTATATACTGACCCTTAGTGGTAAGCTGAGAATTAGATTGCACAGCCAAGTTTCTAATTTTTGCTTTTTTTCTGTGGCCCAACTGTTCAGAAAATGGCAGGAATATTTGCTGTGCATCAGCACAGTCCAGCTATGTAAATAACTGCACTATTGTCTTCAAGAGGCGTAACAGGCATGTTAAAATAATGATGACAGGTGTTATTAGCTCTTCTGAAGGGAGGGCTGTGGGAAGTGGGGGTGTTGAAAGGTTATTCCAAAATGCAAAATGAAAACGCTGGCATTGAGAAGCAATACTCTCCACATAATGAGAAACAAATAAGAACTCAGTATCTGGCACTAACAAACACCTCAAGCTAACTGTGGAATGAGTATTAATTAGGTTTCCAGAATAGCATCTTTCTGAAAAGCAGCTGAGGTGTAATATTGCTCCTTATTAATCAAAGCAATGGGACAATGTGAACTCTGCAAAAAATAAATGGTTTGCAGATGGCTGTGTGCCTCTTTAATAAAGACAGAAGAACACAAGTTACAGCTTTAAATGCCAGAGAGCCTTTCTACATCTTCTCCTTTTCAGAGAGCGATATTTGTGGTTTTCAAGGCAGTGAGGAAAGTGTGTTGGTTTCTTATTACATTTTCCCTGCAGCATAAATTCTGTTGATGTGCTTCCCTAATCAGGCTAATTATACTGCCATATGTTGCTCTCATCTTTCTTTTTCTCTCCTAATGGGACATAGATTCTCTCTTTTGAATATGTCATGTGTTTATTACATTTATCAAGGGTTTTAACATTATATGGGTCTTTTAATTGCTTTTTTAAACACTCAGCAGATTGAATATTAAAAACACCATGAAGGTCAATTATAAATAATATTTAAATTGCTCATGCCATTTTTCTCTAATTTGCTAGAAATATTAACTCTGTAGCCCTGATCCAGCACCCATTACTTAACATGAGAACACACATGCATCCCTCAGAACTACTTACATCTGTAATTTAAATCCTCCCAGTTCTACCTAACTATAAGTCACCTTGTGACTAATAGAATAGGGCTCCACAATATTACAAGTATTGCAATACTTGACACAGATATGCTTCCATTAATTCCACTTGTAAACTAATGGAACACTTCAAACAATGAAGGCTAACGTTCATTTCCAAAGGGAAAGAAAAATGTGGTCCTCTCAAAAGACAGAGGTCTCAAAACAAGGAAATATAACATCAATAGTGCAAATAAACATGGTTTAAAGTTGGGTAGTGCCTCATATACAGTCATTAGAACCTCAGAATATCCACAGATGAACTCGACACAGTGACTTGTTGAACTGAACTGAGAGAACTGTACCAGGCTAAAAAGTTTACTTGAAACTAAATAAATAGCGAGTACTTTCCTGTTATTTGATTGTTTGTTCACTGTATTATGATCCTAGTCTCAAAATCTTACTCTAATGAAAGTTATTCTTGCAGATTCAGGATGAAGTTCATCAGGATTAGGCCCTTTATGACAATGAAGTAACTTTATAACTGCAGTCCAGAAAAAAAATGACAACCATCTATTCTCTTTAACTGTGCTCCATTTCAAGGCCCAGATTCCACCTGCCATTTTGATTCTATTGCCTTATTTATGTATAACTTATTACCTCAGATTTGTAAAATATTCTGCACAGGACATTACAAATGTATGAGACCCCTCAACTTAAAGTTCATGTATTAGGTAATTTGTCAGAGGTATGTTCAGCCAAGACATTATCTGTTCAAAACTAGCTATTGAAAAGTTTTCCAACCTATGATCCATATGTAAGAAGGATCATTAACGGTTTTATCAGAATTTTTTTTTATAGGTGATTTCTTTCTTGGCAAAACTTTATTTACCTGCATGCCTTAACTACTTCAATAACTTGCAGTTAACACCAAAGTGTGCTCTTAATTTGCACTTGGTTGAAGGGCTGAGATATACAACAACATCCTCTCACAATATTACCATCCTTGCATTTTGCTTAGTCCTTTTGTGGAGGGCAGCAAGTATTTTGAAGTAAGGTTCAGTTTAAAACCAGTTAAAAATCCCAGTCTTATGAGTGTTCCCACACTTATAACTCTTAACTCATGAGCTGCCTCTTTGTTTCCATAGGCCTACTAACAAGTCTGCATTTTTTGTAAAACATAAAATTTTCCAGGGCTGTGGGAAATGGGTCTCTCCCCTTAACTTTACTTTCCTGGTATTTATATTTATATCCCAGGGAAATAGTCTAAATGTTTGCCTAAAGTATTTGACACAGGAAGCTCTCTTATCTTTATGTAGGTAGTTATATATTTGCTGTTCATACTTTGCTTTAAACTAGAAGTATTAAATGCTGTTGATAGTCATACTTCCACATCTTTGTTTTCAAGGATGTAATTTTCAAAGACTGATTAAAAATTGGATGCACTTCCCTCAAATCTTTGCTTTAAAAGAAAAGTATGAAATTTTTTTAAAAATTGCAGTAGAAGAATGTTAATCTACTTACATTTTCTTCTCATGTGATGACTGTATAGTCAAAAATACTTAATTTATCTGTTAATTTGAAGTTACTTTTGTCGTAATAGCTGCTTGTTTGACTTCTGGCATATACACAAAACAGCAGAAATCCCTTTCAACAGGTAGCTTAAAATGGATAGCAACCCGAAAAAGGAGCTGCAAAGAATGTGAAATGAACTAGTTGTCTTCCTTTACTTTTGCCACATACTCTGCTAGGATTTGATACAAGTCTAAGTCAATGGGCTTCTTTCAATTTATTTCCAGTTTGAGTTGTATGGGGCCCTCTTTACCCTCTGCTCCACTGAGGTCCCCTGATTAAGTTTAGAGTGTGCCATGGAGCCACCTCTGAAAGTCCTGACTTTCCTGCAGATTACTGCCAATGGGAAAACTCAATGACTCCAACACTGCCAATCCCACAGTAAGGATTTTTGGAGGAAGGGGAAAAAGTGGGGTTTTCTAGTTATGATCCCCTTCATGGAGGGATATCTTGGCAGTAAGGGTTAAGAAGATAAGACTCACCACAAGAAATTGTCTTCAAGAGTGCTATGAGGATACAAGTGAGCTTGCATGGCAGACTAGCACAGTTATGAGAAAAGCATGGAGTGGCAAGCAGGCAAAAGGTTTGTTAACCATTTATGCTCTCACTTTTCAAAAACAATCACACACGCATGAACAAACATGCTTTAGTAAAGCAAACCTGCAACTAACATTCATGAGCTTCACTGTCCTTGCCCTCAAATCAAATTTATTTAGGAATATCATCATAGGAAATACGGACAAGTACAGCAGAATAGAAACACACAGTCATAGGTTGCCTTGTTGGAAGTTAAATAAAAAATACTGGCTAAATCATAACCCATAACAATATTACATAATATATGTCAGATACCTCAAGATAAAAATACAAAATAAAACCTTTGAGGGCTAATCTATAGCTACAGCTCCTCAGTGTGCTTAATGCAGGGATGCATGCCCATAGTGCTGTAGAAGAGATGCATATACAAACAATACTTCTTACGGCTCCATGCAGTGTTCTGGTAGCGCAGCCTTACAGGTTTCAGAGTGAAACTATTGTTCAGGGAGAGGCCTAACAAGAAGCCTTTCTGCCATTTGAATGCTAATTTTGCTCAAGGTTGAAACCTTAAGTAACACATGTTGGTTATATTTGTCTTCTCCATGAAAGTAAATTTCTTCTCATACAAACAACACACTAAGCTTTGGGTCATATCCAGATAAACATTTGCTAAGAATAAAGGAAGAAAGAAATAAAATATAACTGATATTAAAGAAAAACTAAGGACCTTCCTTCTGGTAATTCAATAATGTATACCACAGTAATTAAACTGAATACAAAAGAGCAAGTAGGATTATTTATATGCAAATCACATTTCTATACTAATGACTCAGTTCTGCAGGCACCGAGCACCTCCTGTGTGATCATGAGCCCCTTCCAGCTTCTGCAGGGGCATATCAGGGTGCCTGCTATAATAGTAGGATACTGAGTCCCATACAGGATGCACTGAGTGCTCTGCAGAATGTGTTGTAAATTCTGCTTATGTTTTCAGGAGAAAACTTTTGTGGGGTATGTAAATCACTATGGGACAGAGACAGAAGAAAAAGAAGTCAAGCCCAATTATGGTAAAAATCTGAAACTGAAAATACAATAAAGTCATCAAATTCAGATTGCTCCAGACTTTCAATCTCAATGAGTCATGAATTGCAACACTGAAGAATGCTCTTCAAAAAACAGCTTGTTAAACTATATTTGAAGATATCAATCATTTTTGTTCTTTCCAAAGTTGGTGGGAATTGTAGACACTCAACATAATCTGAAATAAGGTCCTATGTTTTGAAGTGAAAGGCATAAGACCAGAGTTCTCAGATTTTAAACAAGAAAATTTTCCACTGCCACAGCTTTTAGCAATTTACAACTTTTAAAAAAGATCTGATATGACCAACGTTTTTTTTCCTCTTGTCATAATGGCAATAAGACACCAAAAAATGGCTTTTATTTTATTATAAAGGGGAGAAAAAGCCCAACATTCCATAAAAAGATGTAAAGGTGCATGGAGTGATTCAGGCTACTAATGATTCACTCAAACGCTAGCAGAGAATATATAAATTCTTAACTCTTAGCAAAAAATATCAATTGCGTTATAACGTTTATGATACAATTTCATTTGTTAACATTTCATTCGTTAACTGCACTGTACAGAAATTTGTCCATGCTAAATACAAGCCTTGGACCAGATGCACAAAACAATTTAAATGCACTTTTTACATCTTATATGCACAAACATTTTTTAAGTTAAAACTATGCACACTAAATATGCATAGTGTGTATATGGCTTACATATTGAATGACATGAATTCCACGTTTTGGCATGCCCTTATCCCAGAGCAAAGAGCTTGTAATGTTCCCAGTTCAATTTCAATTGCTCACCTGTTAGGAAAGAGGCCACCAATAAGCACAAACACCCAAGTGTCCCTCAGTGTAAGGTGATGGTTTTATCGTTGCTTATTCAACCAAGGTAAAATGCGCCTTTATTGAGGTTGAGTCTGATGCCTGTGTTACCCTTAGCTGTAGTTGGATCCCTGAAGCAGCAGCTGAATCATACGTAGGTCTCAAGTGTACACGGGCCTCTGCATAGAGGGGAATGTCAGCCCCTGGTGAGTCTTGTTCCCAACGGACCATGGCTGATAGCAAAGACTTTTTGGTCAGTGAGGTATTAAACACAGAGTCTGAAAAGGGGGCCTGGGAAAGCAGTGACCCAAGTCAAAGAACAGGGTGGGAGTTTCCGAGGAGGCTCCAAGCGTGGGGAACCGAGGTTGGCTGCTGGCTGCACGCCTCTGAGCGGGTAAGCCAGGAGAGGTCACGCGCGGCTCTGAAGGAAGCGGAGATGAAAGTGGAGTCTCTTTCTGGGCACAGATCAGGCTGGAGGGCTCGTTCTGAGATTTCTTACAGAGGAAGCTGCCTGAGCGCGCTCTTCTCTTGCCTCTCAGAGAAAAACGTTCTGGATGGTGGGTTTTTTGTGTGTGTGATGTGTATATACATATATATATGTGTATATATATGTATTTTTTTTTTAACAAAACAAATGATTGACAGGATTTTGGTGGATGCAAGTTGTCAGTTTTGCATTTGAGCAAAATCATGGCATAAGGCCTCAGGGTTTCCTTGCAATTCTGTCTGAGAAGCAATAACGTTTTGCTGAAGCGAAGCAATTTATCACGTATTTATGTAGCTAGCTGTCTATGTGCCAGGTTCATGGTAGGGCTGATACCATTGCTGACGTCTTACTAAATAGTACAGGAGACAGTACTGAGAATGTTTTCATCTTAATAGTGAATACTACTTCATTAATTTAAAAGAGAGATTTCAGATACTGATTTTGTTGAAGACGAGCTTTCCTTATGGCAGCCAGAGCAACAGGATAGAGTCATCATTCACATATGCTGATCACTTCCCTGTACAGTTTACATATATTTTTTATTTCCAGATATTTTAAGAAAGCTACCCAGTAGAACTTCAACGTTGTATGCAGCATGGCTGCATGAGCAAGTGTCTGTAACAGTGTTTCCTCTGGACTTTGCATTTCCCCACTGCCAGCAGCAGTGCCACGTAATAGCAAACCAGTGCAGAAAAATGCCACACATTTCTATATATCTCATGCTTAGTTGAAAATGTCTGGTTTCAGTGATGCAATAAAATGAAGTCCAGCTTTGGCTGAAAAAGAATATTTGGCTAGTTTCAGAAAGCAGAATAGAAGCAGAAATAGCAACAACTACAACTGAAATTTTGAGAGTTGTCTAGTGCCTTGAATTACCATCTCAGGTTTTTATGTTTTACAATTTCAATAGTTTTGTCCAATCACTCTCCATAGAACGGTATGATCCAAGAATAAATTGATGGATAACAGTCTCAGAGAGAACAGGGGTAGGAACTGTTACTGCTCTTTTTTTCCTGCAACAGAGTTCAAATGAAAATTTGTAAACATGTGATTTTTACTATTACCTCAAGTATTCAACGCACTGGAACTGAGAATGTTCTATTGTGCAGTTATTTAGCCTGACAATACAAACTGAGACATGTAAAAGGATAGTTATTACTTTCTATTGAACTGAATGGCTTTTTGAGGAGACATAGAAAGTAGGGTGTACTCTGTCCCAATTTTTAAATTTTCTAATAGACCCACAATTGGAGTAGAACAACGGGCATAATAATATCAGTAAGCAAATCCTTATGAAAGTATTAAAAAAAAAAAAAAAAAAAAAAGACAAAATAACCTCTCCCGCCTGAAATGTCAGAAGCTTTTAAGAAACAGCAAATCTAGTTGCGTATCAGTGCGGGTTTTTGCTCAGTGGCTTTTACTATATCTTCTGGTTTCTTACAGTGCTTAGGCTCACCTGGAAGACAGATAAATGTTATTGGGAACTGGAGTGAGGAAGTTAATCAAGTAAATAGAACCTGTACAGCCTAAGACCGACAGGAATTCTTTCCCCTTCTTTCTAAGGCTAAAATGGGGTTTCGGTCACTGCTCTCTTTCAGCAGAGTAAACATGGGATTGAGTTAAGTAATCATTATGATTTATTCATAAGGCAAAAGATAGAATGAAAGCAGTTGATCACAGCATAAAATTAAAATGTGACATTTACATGAGTAAATGTTAATAAAGTTTTTTTTTTAATCTTCCAACTTACTGAAAGTCAAAATGCACCTTCTATAAAGAAGTACTGTTTAAATCCTCTTCACTGGAGGCATCATTCAAATTAGGGGAAAGTTTCTCTTAGATAATGAAAGATGCCAATGTCAAGTTCTAATTTAGTCAGAGAAGAGAAATGAAACTGTGTGACACAAGTAGCTTTCAAACTGAGCCATAGAATACGACTTTCAAACCTCCAATCATAGTATTAAGCTGTTACTTAAAATATTCCTGGAGTAATTTGGAATCATGTGAACAGCTGAGAAAATTATAAAATGATTAGTGGTAGTCTGCATGGGGGGAATGTAACAAGCTTACAGCATTATTTACTAACTATATAGTAGTTGCTCAGTTTTAACCAACTGACCAAATGTTCTCACCAGTGACTACTAATGCTAAATTTAAATGTGGTAAAAGGGAAAGCACAGAAGACTGAAAAGTAGGGAAGATGAGCAGGAAGGAGGGGAAAGGTTGAAAACAAAAACCTAAGTAGAAGGGAGAGGCTTCTGAATGACAAACAAACAAAGAGATACTGCAGTACAAGTAGCTGAAGAAGAAAGTAGAGGATGTGTAATCTGAAAGGAAAACAGAAAGACAGTGAGTTGCAGTTGAAGAGACCAACAGTTTAAAAAGAGAGAGGGAAGAGAGGAAAAGAATGCGGAAAGAAGAAAATTAATAGCCATAAATTCACCTTGGCATCACTGTAAGCAAGAATAATTGTAACACTGATATATTCCCCCCCCATCTCAGTCCCATGTTGCCTTCTGTTCTGAACGCTGGCCATCAGCAGATGGGCTGCATTCCCCTAAATTAACATCCTTCTTGCTTCCTTTTTTTTAAAGGTGGTTATAGTGTGGGTAGATGACAGACACCTCATTCTCTGAAGGATTTTGAAGTCTCAGAATTGGACTAATATGAATTAGAACAAAAATTTCTCCAGATCTTCCAGCCTACAATTGTTTTTGGAAGGATTTAGCCAAACTTTTATTATTATCCATAACAACAAAAAAAAGGGTGGGGGTATTAAAGTAAAATCTATTGATTTAAATATTTAATTTTTATACCTAAAGCGGCTAGCAGGGTTTTAGGAGGAGGAGAAGAGAGGTTTATGAAGCTTCTGTTTACAAGGTCTTGACACATTTAATCTGCATAAAAACTAAATATTGACTTCTAAACCAGATATAACTTTCTGCAGGTCAGTGCGTAAGTGTTTGTGTGTGATCGACTGTGCCTTCTGAATGGTTGCCAACGGCTTTTATCTTGTCATCCCTGCCCTTTTTATAAGCACATCACTTGCTCTTTTAATACACCCTTTCCTCCCTCCTGACCCGAGGTATGTGGACATATGCGTTCGCTTAGCACCAGGACCCTGAGCTTGTCCTGTTTGGCTATGTACAGTGTGCAAAATGCACGCTAGCAGCTCGGGTAGAGCAGCGGCGTCCCGCGCCGGCTCGACGTTGCTGTACGTCGCTCCGCGAGGGAAAGACTGCGCGGAGCACCGCGGGGCCGCTGCAAGGCCGAGCAGCAGCTAACGTTGGCGTGGCACAGACGATTACTCAGCGTCACCCGCGTCAACTGGCACGTCACTGCTGTGGGTTTGTCCGCTGCTATTTTACGAGGTTATCCTCCAGAGGCTTTCAGTGACTGACTGCCTTTGAATGCTTTGCATAACTGGATGTGAGGGGAGAGTCCTCTGTTGTCATGCTGAAAGAAGCTCCTGATAATCTGCTTTATCGCAGATTTATTATCTTTCTTACATTTTGATATTAAGGATTAATGTGGCAATCATAATGAGTGAAAAGTTGAAAGTGTGCCAATTAGCATTTTATAAATCATTGCAACATTAAGTTGTTTAATTAAACATAAGCAGTTTTTAAAGTTAATGACCTAGTTAATAAATCACTCGGGAGAAAAGGAAAATCATCACTTTAAAAAAAAAAAAATCACCTTATAATAGTTCCACTTAATCTTGTAGCATTTGATTAAATGAGAGCGAGATTATGGAAAGGACAAAGGTATTGTAGGGAAAAGTGGCTTTCAGTCACAACTGCAACTCTCACAATAGAGAATGGTTCTGCATCCATACTAACCGGTACGCAGCGCAGAACAAACCCCGTTAATAAAGTGCGATAGCTTACAAGAACTAAGCCTAGAAGCGGATGCTATACGAGGCTAAGAAAACAGCCTTTTTTTTCTTTTTCTAATGGCAAAGGTCCCTCACAGTACTTCTAAGCAGTCAGAGACGGTTTCCGAGAAGGCAGCTCATCTTCCCTGCGTTTACTCTTGTTTTCCATCTCTGTTACATCGCAATTGCTCACTTACAGAAAATGGATGGGGAGTTAATTTCCTATGTCAGCTGTTTCTATTCTGTCCTTTATAAAAAGCTAAATGCAGAACACTGTGTTGCTTTCCCTCTTACTTTCATGTGTCTATCTATCTCATTTTCCCAGCCTCAGAGAGTCACCAGGTGCTTACTACTTGGTCCAGGGAGAATCAGCAAGCACTCTGAACACCCCTGTTAGCCTTGCACCCTCCTCCCCCAACTCAGTACAGTGCTGCCAGACAGTATAGAGGTAGATAAATTTAGCAACAGCTAGTGCTAATAATGCCCTGACAAATGACTACTGCTTCTTGGAGTAGTTAAATAATTCTAATTTGGAAACCAGGCAAAAAAACATTAAAAACTTGATGTGTATGTTACCTTTTGCTTGCTTGAACATAAAGCTTTCTGCTGGAAGTTGCTGTTATCTCGTGTCATGTCTGACCTCTACCAAAAAAAAGATTTTTGTCTAGGTCTGGCTGGTCATCAACAATGGTGGAAAACAGCGTTGCTGTCTGAAATGAGGAAAGCACCCTTCGCAGAGGTGGCAGGAACCAGTATGGCATTGTTTGCCTTCAACTTCATGTAGCTGTTGCCTTCCTCTGTGCTAAGGAAGTATATAAGGTGTGGTAACTTGATTTTTAGACCTGCAGCTCTCGGCTCCGCTGGCTGTGCCAGCCCTGATATACTGTAATACTAGGGCTACGGGAAGGGCAGCTACCTTTTGCAGAAGTGGAAAAGGCCAGAAGGGATCCCAAGAAGGGATCCACATTGCCATTTTCCAGCAGCCTAAGTATCTAAAACCACTTTTGGCCAGTCAGTTGCTGTGGAAGATTAGTGACTGCTAAGAAAGTCAGGCCAAATGCTGAGACAGAAATTATGGTCTTTTTCTTTCTTGATGCCAAGATCTGTTTTCCTTTCTATTCTCATCCATACATAACTAGTATCCAATTCTAACACTTTAATCGTCTTGCACAATACTGGATTCTGCAAGCAAATATGATACAGCAAAGGCTGCAGTAAGCATCCCAATTCTAATGGACTGTCAGTACTGACAGGTCAGTTATTACCCTTCAGTTGTTATCCACCCTGACTCTCCTGCAAAACCATTAGTGCTATCACAAAACTTCATTATTAATCCTGTCTTTTCCACATTCTTGTTATTCTGAATTAGTGAAGGAAGTCATCCAAAAGTTGCAAAACCATCAATTTTTGCATTGTAATCATATTTTGACTTTCAAAAAGCATTCTAAGTATCCATTTAAAATATATCTAATATGTCAATTCAAAACACTTTTCATCTTGATTATTCAAATATAAAAGTTATACATTTTAATTAATTTAGTATTTCTACTGGAAAATATGATTTCTGTGAAATCACAGTTTATAATGAGAAACATTTTCTATCCAGAAAAACCAGAAGCAACTTGAGATAAGATAAATATTACGTATATACAAATGATTCTCTTTTCTTGGGGAGTTAATATTTTGCACTCGATATGGGATTTTAATATACTACTGATTTGTGAAAAATGTATTTGAAATGAGAAATAACATATTCTGGATCTCTCTCTCGAAATGGGTGCTTCTTTAATCCAGTAAGATTCAACAACCTCCTGAAATTGGTGTTATATACTTACCTGTCACTGTACTTGTTTAAATGTAGATATGTAATATTAATGTTGCTGCAAGAGTATTTGCTGCTGCAGTGTGCATAGAAGGCTAATGTAATTCCCTCCATTTAGAATGATTTGAAATCATTTTGCCAGTGTGAAACAGACAGGCGAAACCTTTTAAGCCTGCGTTTTCCCTTCAGTATTCAATACTGCAAACTATTTCAATACTAAGTTCCTGCTCTGTCTTTTTGTTCTGGATAGCTTTAACATGATGGCAGAGTCTCTGTAGAGGTATTTAAACTTACTGCCGAAACCCAATATTAATTTACTCTGTTTCAGAGAGCCAGGACCTGATTCTCACCATGTATTTTTTAGAATATCTAGCGCCCAAGACTCTGGGTATTACAATTATATTAATAACTGCAATATACATGTATAATTAGCAAGCACAGAAAAAGCCCATCATAGATTTATTTATTTATATCATCTATGACATCATCCAGGTCTCCCTTGAGGTTTATTAGAAGCATGAATTTCTGTGGAAGGGTCAGTGCTGACTTAAAAGATTATAATATTTAAAATTATATAGGCAGATTTCTCATTAAATAGTGATCTGGCTGATTACCTATCCTTAGGAAATAAATTTTAAAATATATCGTGATACAATCCCTTTGTAAATCATTTTGAAAGATCACAAAAAATATGTTTTCTTGTTCAAAAATATGTTTTCCTATTTGCAGACTTAAATATTGTGAAAATAGGGGAAATGCATGAATAAAATGTTATTAAATTTAAAATTCAAATTAATCTATTTGATTAAATAAAAACAGAATATAAACGATACATCCTACAGCAGTCAAGCAAAACATTCATTAAGCTCTCCATTCTCCTATCGTTTAACTATGCAGGAAAATGAACACCAATGATCACGGAAGGTGATGGCTGACAGTAAATTCAACGTACAGCAGTGAACAGACGTTCCACAGAGGTATATGCTACATAAAATGACAATTAAAAATGCCTTCAAGTATCAGATGCTGTTAAAAACAAAACCTTAGCAATGTCCTTATTCTATACTTTGTAATACATCACAATGGTCTGTTGCATGTCTTGAAAGATAAAAGATGCAGCATTTCCTACTCTGCTTCTCATCAGGACATGGGAGACTTTTCTAAGGCAGTTAAACTTCAGTCTGTTAGGGCTTGGGCCTTAGTACACAAAACGGTATTAAAAACACACGTGTCAAAAACAAAAATGTCACTTATTAGAAAAAACAGCTGTGAAATTAGTTTAAGTGTAAATCTTTTGATTTAGCACTATAATTTCATCATCTGTTATTGCTGGTGAAGAAAACCTGTCAACAATAAAAGTATGGGGGTACTGAAATTGGGTGGACTCTAGAATAAGTGGGAGTTCTCCACAGAAAGAATTTTTGAGAAACATGCTGAGCCATATAATTATTTCTAGGCTAGACCTTACAAGCACTACAGTGCTGCTGCTCAGGCAGTGCCATACTTCTGGCACAATCTGGCAAGGTTCACTCTCCTAAGAGCATTAATGGGTTCAGAATTTCAGTGGAAAGTGAAGTGCTGTTACACATCAGTTATACTTACTAGCATCATAACTCAAAGCTTATTTTAACATTAAATAAATTCAGACCATATGAGAATAAAACAAAAATCTATGGTGCCTTTCTCTTACTTTCATAAGACCTACTCTTATCACTTGGGCATCTTGGACAATTACCAGATACACAACCATAATCACCTTGTGATAAAAATCCTTGCACTTAATAAATAAATTTATCCTTATAGGATTTTTTTGGCTGCTCCATTTTTCCCACAATCTACAGTCAGGAAAATGACCTTTTTTATTAAGAGAACAATACCTTCCCATGCCTACGCCTGTTAACTTTGATCACTTTAACTGGATGCAATTTGCTAACTCTGAAATTCACATTACTTCTAGTTAAAAGGATGAGATTTACAAAATTAAAGTCACATTAAATGCCTAAACTAAGTGAGATGCATTTTAATACCAGAAGAATAATTACATATTCGAAAAGAAAAATGTTAATAGTTCGATAGAGTATCATTCTCCAATAACAAAACTGCTCTTTAATTGCATATATGCATCTTTAAATAACCTTAAAATCATTCTTTCCTAAAGTTTTGGTATTTTATGTAAAGGATTTCCTACTAGCTAATATCAAAAAAGATGATACTTGTTTGTATCAGATGCCCTTTATTTGATGGGTTTATAACGCTTCTGTCTCTGCACATGCCTAAAGAGGCTTTCTAATGCTGAAAATTTATGCAACACCTTATTCCGATATTTTACCACTGTTGATGTTTGACAGAGAGGTATTGGATGCTCCTGCAGCTTCTCCTCGGGTAGCTTCATTAGACTGACTGGTGCTTTGTGATGAAATATTACCGTTCGGTGGGTCTGTATTCTGTATTTCTTGCTGGGTCTCAGTGAGATCCTTCTGGTTCAGATCAGAGTTAGTGCATTTTTCTGAGTTGGATTCATGAAGAGGAGTGTCAAAAGAGATTACTCGTAGGACGATGGATCTGGGAGGGCAAGCGGTACCATCACTTCCCTGACTATTCTCATTTTGTGTCCTTGTTGTGTCTTCCTGTAATTGCGCATCTGTGGATTTTCTGCTTTGGTCTATTTGCTGTTCATCATCTTTTTTCACAAGTTCTTCTACAAAGAGGGAATAAAATATGTGAATTAGCAAAGCAAAATGTGAATTATGAAGGATATCCCCCAACAGTTTGATTTCGGAGTAGTGACTGTTTGATAGAGTTGCACATGGGAGCATTGTGACCATCAGCTTTCTATATGAGGACAAGTGCATTGATGTGCTTAATATGGGTCAGATTCTGATCTTAATTGCACATTTGCAACTGAACCACAGTGGCTGGCTGTGTAGTTTGTACCTCTTTTTTTTTTTTTTTTTTTTTGGAGGAGTCCAAGGCAAGGAGCATCAGCAAACACACTGTAAGCTGAAGAAGGGGAAGAGGAGGACCCCGTGGAAGGCACTTCCACCTAGCAGTGTGGTTTGTGATGCCAGAACTAGGAGGTGCAGAGCTCTTCAGTTCTGAGACAGGGAAAAGGCCGTGGAGGGGAGAAGAGTGCTAGAAGGGGAGGCACCAAACCAGAACACCAAAGCCCTGAAGGAAACTGGCCTGTCGGTCTGGAAAGGTCCAAAATGGCAGCAAATACAGAGCTGCAGGTGGAACAAATTTTAGAGGGTTGTAGGCATGCTATCCAGTGCTGTTGCCATTATGGCTAGTGGCAAATACAGAATGAAAATGAGTAAATATGGAGAAAATAGTGCTTCGGCAGACAGTAACTACAGCAGAAAAATGCTCATGGAAGGCTCTATTGCAGGAAGAGAATTGGAGAAAAGTGCAAATGCAATGATGGAGAACGAAAGGAAACAGAACTCAGAGCAGCAAGGAGAGGTGGGTGGGAGGTACTAGAAGATGAAGACAACAGAGAGTGGAAGAGACTTGTGCTGGAGAGTGAGAAATCTGATAAAAATAACCTCTACCATCTTCATGGAGGGCTTGTTTATCTTGCTATTACAACCTCTGTTTCATGAATTCAGATTTTAGAATCTTTACACTTCTACAGAAGTTATGAAACACTATCAATTTAAAAAGCGAAAGCTTTGCAGTTTGAACAAAACCTCCACAAAACAGCTACAGGTTATTGCATGGATCTTCAACTTCACTGTTGTGCTCACTGTGTTAAGGAAGGAAACCAAGCATGGAGATATTTGTCCTTTTGAACTGCCAGCTTCCTAGAAAGAAACTCTGGTTCTGAGTGAACAGTCCAAACTCAGATGAAAAGTGATCGCATATGCTAATTGAGGGATAGAAATATTTCTGCAGCCCAGGCTGCAATCATGTTTCCACCACAGTCAGCATTTAACACCTCCATTACATCACTCCTGACTGCTCTGAGTTACAATTTGGCCTGTGAAACGGGATGCAAAGGAAAGGAACAGTTCCAAACCTGAGTCTCCCTAGTTCTCTCTGATGTGCAGAAGAACAAAATATTTAAATGATTTCCCTCCTTTGCCAGCTCCTATACTTTTTGGCATTAAAAAAAATTAATAAACGTCAAATTTGAGCAATTTCAAAATTCTTTTTTTTTTTATAAACTAGAGAGAACTTTTTGTTTTGGACTGCAGCTCCAAATCTTCTGAAACTTGGACAGGTACTCTTTCTCTACAGACTTCAGTGCAGCTCTTCCAAAGAACTGGTGGGACTGAACACATTAAGAAATATGTTTGTGCAGCTTGAAAGCAAATCTGACGTCGTTCAATCCAGGTATGTTAATTAAAGCATTTGTCATTCGTAGTATAATTTATGTACCTAAGGCTTTTCTCCCACGAAAGTGATTTACATAGCATACTAGCTTCCATATGGCAGAGCTACAAGCATTTTGCTTAACTTTATCAAAGAGCCAAGGAAATTCCAAGATAGAAACATTTCAGATACTGTTCAGATGCATCAGTAAGTTGAGGAAAGCAAAGCTGAATTATAAACATACATTAAAAAATGGAAAGATGAAAAATTTAAATTAAAATAAATAAAAATATGTTTTAAAAGTGCATAGATATTTGAAGCCTTTTAGACTTTCTTAGAGCTGTTTTTTTAATTTTCAAAATAAGCAAAAAAAACTTGAGATGATGCTCCATCTTTAAGTTGGGTTTACCCAAGGGTTTCTTACAAATGCCTTTAGTACTTAATAGTTGCAATGAACTATTTCTAATATCGCAACTTTTTTAACAATCTGATATTAAGATATTTTCTATTAAAATGGTAATACTATCTGAGCTCAAAGTACGAAAGGTTTTTTTTTTTTTTTTTAACCTGAAAGCTGGTAAGAGAAGACAATATCTTTCTCACAGAATGGTGTTTTAGGACAGTTCTAACCAGAATTTATATTTGTTTTGCTGTAACTTGGTGGCTAACCACTTTATTCTGCTATTAAAAGTAATGTCTCAGAATACCCTGTTTGTAAAAACACTAATTTTTTTTCAGCTCATAAAGCTGAATATCTATTACCTTCAAATTCTCTGACTTCCCTCCCATCCCAAGCTTAAACTGGCGAAGGAAGGTTAACAATCTAATCAGAACAATGCTGATGGCCTGTTCTTAACTTCTGTCATACTGATTGCTTATTTATACGTCTGTCCTTGAGATGACCTCAAGCATGTCTGTTTAAGGATACCTAAATCACAGGCATACTCTAACTCAGCTCTGTCAGCTCTGTGCATGTTCAATGGACATTTGGAATGGAGTATCTCCACAGGAAATGTCATATCTGTTACACTTAAGCTAATGAAATACTGTCTGTTCCAGAAGCCAGTGGAAAAGAATATGTGAGAAAAATATTATCTTCTCTAAGTATGAAAACTACTGTGGACCCTTAGAATCTGTGGAGTTAAAACTGTTGATAGACTTTGTTTATGGCAACAACCATACCTGCTCACTCTAAGTTTCAAAACTAGAGCAGAACAAAAACTTTTGACTGTTCTCACACACAGTTTGTGAAATGGTTTGTGGCACTTGAGCCACGGGGTTGTTCACCACCAAGTAAGTTTTGGGCCTGCTCCCAGTGAATTATGCCATATGCATGATTTTTGCATTCAGAAAAAGGCTCCAGAATGACAGCTCCATCACGATTCACGCTACAATACGTGCTTAATCACTAGATTTTTTTGTTTGGTTTGAGCAGTGATTACCATTCCATAGTGATAAAATTTCAAAGTCACTCTTAGTTAAACCAGCTTGAAAAAAAGAAAAGTATTTCATCTGTTTGGGAGGAGTTTGTTCAGGGGAATTAGGAAGAGTGGCTGGTAGTTGTGACTGAGGCTGAGGATCCTCAGGTATAAATTCCTCAATGATGGTATCACTAAAACCCCAAATCCTTGTTCTTGGTATTAAGTCTCTCATCTGCTGTACATCTGATTCTATGTTCTGACTCCACTCTGCTTCGAAATCCACTGCAAAACAGGAATAAAAAGAGATGAATAATATTGGATTCTTACAGCCACTTGTGGAATATGCTATATGGACCAGAAAAATACAGATTTCTGCTTTCTATAGCAGTTAATAATTGTAGCCTGTACTATATGGGGGCCTCTGTATTGTATAAAGTTGTTGGAATTTATTGCCATTTCTTTTGCCTTATCGCTTTGGTGGAACAGACATATTCAGTAGTCTTTAAAAGAAGCTGGGACTGGGATAGTAGCCGAATAGCTAAAATTCAAGTCACTCGGTTAAAATTTAGCTATCTGAGAAGCAGGTCTGGCATGAGGTTTGATCCGTGGTGTTGGAGAGGGAATATCGCAACGTGGTGGCGGAACCTCTGATTCCACCCAACCATCACCCACCTAAGAGAGAGGCTTCTCAGCTGCCACCCAGTCACCATCCACTCATCACATCAGGGACGAGCAAGTTTCCCCTCCTTTACGGGCACGGGTTGCCATGGCTAGCCAGCGGTGGAAATGGGGGTACGTTAAATCGATTTGCTAACCTGGCATTTGCTTAATAAGATTAAACAATTGAATAAGATTAAGAAGATTTAACAACCTTCTAGACAATCTTTCTTTCCATAAAGCTTCTCTCTTTTTTGACCAGTTAGGCTGAACAGTGAGCAGCTTAAGGATTACCATATCCATTCAGGTAATGACAGATAGAAGTATGTTGTATGGTAAGCTCAGGAAAGGCATTATTGTTGTTGTTCTTGCTCTTCATGATTTAACGTGGTAAAAGTGCTTGGAGTTAAGCCCATTTACATATTTTTTAATTGTTTGATTTTTCCTTACTTCACAGGAACCCAAGTGTTACTCAGCAGAATTTGTGCAAGTTATGCTGTAAAACAAATTGCTTCTCCTAACAGATCTGTTCTGGATGACTCAGTCAAATGTGTCTCTTCAGTACTTCTATGCTATCTCTGAACTACAGCCTTAAAGCATTGTCCTTCGTGAAAAGCAGCAATGTCAGCTGATAAGTAAACATGGCATAAGTAAGTGCTGTCTTTCCTCCAAAGTGTTTAGGCTGCGACATTGGCAAAATAATTTTAATGCATTGCTTTGTTTGGAAAACTGGCAGGAGTCATAAGGCAGTGACCAGGTTTCAGAATACTTGAAAAATTTTGGTACTTAGTATTTTGCAGATACAGAAAATGTGCTAACTACTGAAGGCCATTTCTTTTCACTCCCCTTCTCACCAAGTATTACTCTTCTTCCATTGAGTCACTTTCTTTTTGGCTTACTACGTGTCTGGCAATGGAAGCCAGTTCTCAAAAGACATACTGTAATTGTTGATCATTATCCCTACTCGGATTGTTTCACACCTGAACAGGAAAGGCTTTTGGGCATCTGTGAGCACTACAAAACAGCTGAGATCCTACTTTATTCTGGGGCTGAATAACTATGACATTGTAGTTGCTTTGAGATTACTTTAAAAATATTTAAACATCCTAATGTTTGAATTTAATTTTAAATTTTTATCAACTTTTGATGATAAAAATGGCTAGTGCTGTCATTTCAATGTCTCATTTTTTTTATGATTGTGGCTGCATTCTCATTGATTTCTCAATCTATTTCTTCTCCTTATGAAGTTATCCAATGCCAGTGATAAATATGGCCTGAAGCTTTATTGCTTCAATAAAAATTAGGA